TGTACACCATGCTGCCCCCGTCCATCATGCTGCCCCCGTGCATCATGGAAAAGGATATGCTCCGGTTTATCCTGACGTAAGTAATATTTCCTGAATCCCAGTATTTGTTAGTTTAGAGTGACTAAGAAAGACTTTTTTGTTAGCTTGTGTCCCGGTTGCTCTCTCCATCCGCCTCCCTCGAGTTCAGGTAATTTGTCTCCCAGTATTCTTTTCAGATGTTATTTTCCCATTTGTCTTATTACCATTTCATTTATTGAAATTGCCGCCTTCTTTCTATCCACGAAAAAAAATCCTGAGGAAGGCCCCTGAACAATAAAATATTTCCCCAGTTTAATCTATCGATCAGAATCAAACTAAATGAATATCAACATGCTCTCTAACAAAGTTTACTATTAAGATACTTTAGACTGTAGTCCCACTATTAAACATAACTCCCAGTTCTATCTTTGCGATCTCTAAGGGGTCTAGAAACCACCGGTTCCAAATCACTGTTCTAGATCATAGGAAAATATCCCTTGATGATTTCCATCTCTCTCTAGACTCCTCCACACTACGCCAATGAGTACGCCGTCAGCGACGACTACGCCGGCACCCATTTTGGCCACTCGGAGGCACGCGACGGCTACAAGACGGAGGGCAAGTACTTCGTACACCTCCCCGACGGCCGCGTCCAGACCGTCACTTACTACGCTGACGAGACTGGCTACCACCCCACCGTCTCCTACGAGGGGACGGCCCACTACGACGCCCACGCAGCCGTCCCTCACCACGCCCCTGCCAAGGCTTACCACGCCCCTGAACCAGCATATCACGCCCCTGAGCCTGCATACCACGCCCCTGAACCAGCATATCACGCCCCTGAGCCAACTTATCATGCCCCAGTTCTACCCACCTATCATGCCTAAGCTAAAGAAGTATTCTTTGTGTACCAAAAGTTCAATGAACATTGTCAATATTTAAAAGACTTTTGTATAATAAAATGAAACTGTGGATCTGATTCTTTGACTCAACCATCAACCTTCTATTCCCTTGTAGACAAAAGAATTCCAGTCCCTATAATACATATTATACATTTCCCAATCGACCTTTCAACAAATACAAGAGGTATACCATTGCCGCAAAATGCCATGAGATGATGTATGCCTTTTGAGGTATTCCGCACATATGGTTATCCGCTTATTTTAATGTTTTATTACTTTCAAAAGGTTCATTTACACACATACGCACGCAAACACACACACGCACACACACTATATGTATACATATATATGTATATATGTGTGTAAAATTTTAATCCAAGAGCCATTTCCATATCTAAACATCTATCTGGGTAAACTATTAATTTCAGAGGGTCTTCATTGAGAAATCAACTGGATGTTTTTGGAGAGCTGCATTGCAAATGTCTATATATTACCTATACATAGATATGCATGTACAACACATACACACGCATACACACAAACACACACAAACTCACACACACACAAATACACACACACACACACACACACACACACACACACACACACACATATATATATATATATATATATATATATATATATATATATATATATATACATGCATGCAAACATAAAGATCTATCTGTGTATATCTATGTGAATCTTCTTATTCATCCTTGTGTACACGTTACTGTGTTTGTGTCTGTGTTTTTTCTCTCTATATATACATACATATACATATATATATGAAATATATGCATTTATACATATACATGAATAAATGTATATTTATAAACACGCATATACATATGCAGTCTTAAGTAAGCTTACTGTCTTACTATCTAACACCTAAATTTTATTTGAAATGATTGCCGATCAATTTACCCGCTCTGAAACTTATTATGGAAAATGGTTAAAACTTCTCCCAGTCTGAATGAACTTCTTGAATTAAAAGGACCATTAGTCAGACATACCTGAAAGGCTGTACCCCAGTGTTCGCCTCTGAATATTTTTTCTTATTTTGTATGTAAAAAGAAAGGAATCAACAAAACAATAGGCAATAGTGCAATGAGCGTAATCTCGTTATTATAATTTACTCCCTTCCAGATTACAGACCGATATAGACTATCCTATAATGGATATCTCAGATGTTCTAACAATGTCTGCGTCGTACTTCATGGAACCAAGACCATTTTCGTCTTCTTTTTGCAGTCCCTTCTTTGTTTATCTCTGTGACAGCTCATAAAACTCCTCTCATCTGCACGGTGGAGATGATCATGGAGGAGAGCTGCGTTTGCGAGGCGATCGACCTTGCCACACCAAGGAATTCCAACAGAAGGTATCAAGTGGAATAGCATCCAATTCCCTGCTCTTTAGTCTGGGTTTCCAAAATGCATTTGATGAACATTAAACATAATTTGAATGTTAACTTTCTCCTACAGTATGAAGTTGAACTTCGGATGTAGTTAATGTTTAATTGACTTGCAGGTAAGCCCAAAAAACATTTTGACAAGATTCCTTTAGGCGGACGCAAACGTGACCTTCAGCGGTCAACGCATGCGGCGCGGCAGCTATATAAAAAGGGCGGCCCTTCCCAGTAAGTCACAACCTTCTCAAACTCAACATGATGCGAAAGGTAGTGACTAAGATGGTGCCTTCTGTGACATTTGAAGTTTTAAAAACTGGGAAACATGTTGACTCCATTTACTAACGCTATTCTCTCTTTACCAACAGGTAGGCTTAGTGCTGGTGGCAGGCGTGGTCGCCCTCGTTTCAGGCGATATCAGTCACCATGTTAAGAGTTCTCTGCACCACCCACTACATCGCCACGCGACTCCAAAACATCATGTAGCCCCTGTACACCATGCTGCCCCAGTGCACCATGCTACTCCTGTACATCATGCTGCTCCTGTGCATCACGGAAAGGGATATGCTCCTGCTTACCCTGATGTAAGGATTCCACTTGTATATTGACATTTAGTAGTTTGGATCACGAGTGCATTGTAACTTAAGTATGATTAGAATGGTTTTGCATATAAAAAGAGTATCTAGGAATATATCCTGATAATGCTAAGGCGATCTCCCACTCTCTTTAGAAACCTCCACACTACACCTATGAGTACGCCGTCAACGACGACTACGCCGGCACCCACTTCGGCCACTCGGAGGCTCGCGACGGCTACAACACGGACGGCAAGTACTTCGTGCACCTCCCCGACGGCCGCGTCCAGACCGTCACTTACTACGCCGACGAGACTGGCTACCACCCCACCGTCTCCTACGAAGGAACGGCCCACTACGACGCCCATGCAGCCGTCCCTCATCACGCCCCTGCCAAGGCTTACCATGCCCCTGAACCAGCATATCACGCCCCTGAGCCAGCATACCACGCCCCTGAACCAGCATATCACGCCCCTGAACCAGCATACCACGCCCCTGAGCCAGCATATCACGCCCCTGAGCCAGCATACCACGCCCCTGAGCCAGCATACCACGCCCCTGAGCCAGCATATCATGCCCCAGTTCTACCCACCTATCATGCTTAAACTAAAAAAGTATTCTTTATGTACGAAAAGTTCAATGAACATTGTCAATATTTAAAAGACTTTTATATAATAAAATGAAACTGTGAATCTGATTCTTTGACTCAACCAATAACCTTCTATTATTTTAAAGACAAAAGAATTCCAGTTCCTATAATACATAATATACATTTCACAATCGATCTTTCAACAAATACAAGATGTATACCATTTCCGGAAAATGCCATGAGATGGTGTATGCCTTTTCAGGTATTCCGCATATATGGTTATTCATTTATTTTAATTTTCTATTACTTTCAAAAGGTTCATTTACACACACACACGCACGCAAACACACACACGCACATACACTCTATGTATACATATATATGTATGTGTGTGTCCGTGTTTATGTAAAATTTTAATCAAGTAGCAATTTTATATGCCTTATAACAGGCCCGGGAAAATATCTAAACATCTATCTGGGTAAACTATTTATTTGAGAGGGTTTTCATAGAGAAATCAACCAGATATGTTTTGAGAGCTGCATTATGTCTATATATTATCTATACATAGATAAATACATACGTACATGTTTATGTACGTATATATCAATGTATATATATCTGCAACACACACATGTCTGTGTGTCTGTGTTCGCTCTCTCTCTATATATATGCATATATAAACATATATATAAAATATATGCATGCATATACATATACATAAATATATACATATGTATAAACAATGCAGTCTTAAGTAAGCTTTCTGTTAATCTGTAGTTATGTTTGTCTAACTATCTAACACCCAGATTTTATTTGAAATGTTTACCGATCAATTTACGCGTCCCGAAAAAATATTATGGGAAAACGGTTGAAACTTCTCCCAGTTTGACTGATCTTATTGCATTAACAGGACCATCAGTCAGACATACTTGAAAGGCTGTATCCTAGTGTTCACCTCTGAATATCTTTCTTATTTCTCATGTAAAAAGAAAGGAATCAATAAGAAAACATTTTATTAAATGAAAAAAGGCATAAAAAAGAACTAGACTTCTCTGAGCTGCACGGTGGAGATGATCATGGAGGAGAGATGCGTTTGCGAGGCGATCGACCTTGCCACACCAACGAATTCCAAGAGAAAGTATAAAGTGGAATAGCATCCAATTCCCTGCTCTTTAGTCTGGGTTTCCAAACTGCATTTAATGAACGTCAAACACAATTTGAATGTTAACTTTCTCCTACAGGATGAAGTTGAACTTCGAATGTAGTTAATGTTTGATTGACTTGCAGGTAAGCCCAAAAAGCATTTTGACAAGATTCCTTTAGGCGGACACACAAATAACCTTCAGCGGTCAACACAGGCGGCGCGGCAGCTATATAAAAAGAGCGGTCCTTCCCAGTAAGTCACAACCTTTTCAACCTCAACATGATGCAAAAGGTAGTGGCTGTGAGATGGTGCTTTCTGTGATATTTGAAGTTTTAAGAACTGCGAAACATGTTGACTTCATTTACCAACGCTATTCTATCTTTACCAACAGGTAGGCTTGGTGCTGGTGGCAGGCGTGGTCGCCCTCGTTTCAGGCGAAATCAGTCACCATGTTAAGAGCTCTCTGCATCACCCACTACATCACCATGCTGCTCCAAAACATCATGTAGCCCCTGTACACCATGCTGCCCCAGTGCACCATGCTACTCCTGTACATCATGCTGCTCCTGTGCATCACGGAAAAGGATATGTTCCTGCTTATCCTGATGTAAGTTCAGCTTAATTCACTTTAACAGTTTTTTTTTTATGAACTTTTTCATATTATCTATAGTATGAGTGGAAAGTTCTTTTTTTGAAAAGGATACCTATCGAAGCAAAGAGTTATGTCACGTAACACCGCGTCCACTCTCTTTAGACGCCTGCACACTACGCCTATGAGTACGCTGTCAACGACGACTACGCCGGCACCCACTTCGGCCACTCGGAGGCTCGCGACGGCTACAACACGGAGGGCAAGTACTTCGTGCACCTCCCCGACGGCCGCGTCCAGACCGTCACTTACTACGCCGACGAGACTGGCTACCACCCCACCGTCTCCTACGAGGGGACTGCCCACTACGACGCCCATGCAGCCGTCCCTCACCACGCCCCTGTCAAGGCTTACCACGCCCCTGAACCAGCATATCACGCCCCTGAACCAGCATATCATGCCCCTGAACCAGCATATCACGCCCCTGAGCCAGCATACCACGCCCCTGAACCAGCATATCATGCCCCTGAACCAGCATATCATGCCCCTGAGCCAGCATATCATGCCCCAGTTCTACCCACCTATCATGCCTAAACGAAAGAAGTATTCTTTATGTACCAAAAGTTCAATGAACATTGTCAATATTTAAAAGACTTTTGTATAATAAAAGGAAACTGTGAATCTGATTCTTTGACTCAACCAACAACCTATTATCTTATACACAAAAGAATTCCAGTTCCTATAATAAATAATATGACATTTCACAATCGATCTTTCAACAAATACAAGAGGTATACCATTTCCGGAAAATGCCATGAGGTGGTGTATGCCTTTTCAGGTATTCCGCACATATGGTTATCCGTTTATCTTAATTTTCTATTACTTTCAAAAGGTTCATTTACACACACATACGCACGCAAACACACACACACACGCACATATATTATATGTATACATATATATGTATATATATGTGTGCGTGTGTCCATGGGCGTGTAAACTTTTAATCAAGTATTTTATATGCCTTAAAACAGGCCCGGGAAAATATCTAAACATTTATCTGGGTAAACTATTTATTTGAGAGGGTTTTCATAGAGAAATCAACTGGATATGTTTGGAGAGCTGCATTACAAATATCTGTATATATTATCTATACATAGATAAATACATACGCACATGTTTATGTACGTATATATCGATGTATATGTAACTGCAACACACACACAAACGCACACACATATAAACATGCATGCAAACATAAGAATTTACCTATCTATGTACATCTATGTGAATTTTCTTGTTCATCTTTATGTACACGTTACTGTGTTTATGTCTATATTCTCTCTATATATATGTATGCATATATATAAAATACATGTATAAATATAAGCATATATATATATATATGTGTGTGTGTGTGTGTGTGTGTGTACAAACAATTAAGTTTTATTACTTTGTAGTTATGTCCGGTTGTCTATCACAAACTTTATTTGAAATGATCACCGATCAACTTACGCGTCCTGAAAATTATGGAAAGGCGGTTGAAGCTTCTCCCAGTCTGACTAAATTTATTGAATTAAAAGAAACATCAGTCAGACATACCTGAAAGGCTGCACCCCAGTGTTCACCTCTGAATATCGTTCATATTTCTTATGTAGAAAAAGAGAGGAATCAACAAAACATTTTATTAATTAAAATGAAAAAAAATGCATAAAAAACTATTTTGCTCGATTAGAAAAGAATTTTTATAAATAAGGTGCATGGTGCATCAGGATTGGATGTTTTCCACAATTTAAAGTGATTTTATTATTCCACAGAGCACTGTGCAATAAGCGTAGTCTCGCTATTGTAATTTACTCCTTCCAGATTACAGACCGACATTGACTATCATGTAATGGATATCTCAGAGGTTCTAACAATGTCTTCGTCGTACGTCATGGAACCATGATCCTTTTCGTCTTCATTTTGCAGTCCTTTCTTTGTTTATCTCTGTGACAGCTGATAAGACTTCTCTGAGCTGTACGGTGGAGATGATCATGGAGGAGAGCTGCGTTTGCGAGGCGATCGACCTTGCCACACCAAGGAATTCGGACAGAAGACATCAAGTGGAATAGCATCCAATTCCCTGCTCTTTAGTCTGGGTTTCCAAACTGCATTTGATGAACATCAAACATAATTTGAATGTTAATTTTCTCCTACAGGATGAAGTTGTACTTCGAATCTAGTCGATATCTGATTGACTTGCAGTTAAGCTCAAAGAGCATTCTGAGAAGTT